GGCGATAAAGGACCTTCAACACTCCTACGAGAAATGAGGCAACTTTCGAATGGAAAACTAGAATGGAATGGAAAGGGTTTTTAAATGTTGCAATATAACATTTGGGCAAGCTTAATGTAACATTGCATATAAACATTCCTGTAAATAATGTTGTACCAATGCTACAATACAAACATTGAGATAATATTCTCAAATCAATATTGCTGCACGGTCATTTTTAAGAGGTTTGAAAAAGATAATATTTAGGTAATATTAAATTTAAAATGAAATATTCCCGCAACTTGCAAGGTGAACAATTAATGCGAAACATTGCAACATTATTGTTAAATCAATATTGCTGTACAGTAGGGTGATTAAAAAAAAGAAGATGGATTATTTTTTTTGCTTTTTAAGATGTCGATGCATCGAATATAAATTTACAATTTTTTTTTAAATGACCCTACTGTACATTAATGCCACAGCTAGTAGTATATCGGAAGATTGCTACATAATTGGAGAAGCAACATTACTGGCAGTAATTTACTGCACGATTCCTCCAACAGATTCGAAAAGTAATAGGTATTGAGGTAATGTTGCGTATGGAGCATAATTAAGTCATATTGCATCCTCATCAGGACCAACTATGCGGATCGAAGTGAATATGTAATAACCATAAGTAAGATTTAGTTTACAATTTTTAACATATATAGTTTAATAATCTATTACATCTTAATTTCGCGGATATTTTATTAATTTTTAATCTTCCACCAATCGGTAGCGGGCAAAGCGCGTAACCAAGCCTTGCGCTTGCGCCTTTTGTATTCATTATATGCCGTTATATGTCGTGGGCTTGTGTTCTTGTTTTTGTAAAAATTTGTGTAATAAAAAATGTTGTCTTATGTTTAATAATTCTTTGGCATTTGTTTGCGCTGTGCTGTGCTATTCTTTTTCTATGTGTTTTGCTGTGAGCAGCCATTAGGTATTTGATAATAGTTTTAAAAGGATTGCTATAGGAGAGTTCTATTTATATCATGGCTTATAATGATTGTTATCACCATTGTTTTTAGAGGTTCTATGTAAAATTTTAGCCCAAAAAAAAATTAAATTTTTAATTAATTTAATTTGAAATAAATGTTAGTCCTCGCATTAATTACAGCAAATACAATTCAGCAAGTCTGCCATAAAGCTCCTTAAAAGGATAGGTACCTTTGTCGAAAACTGAAACAACCATAAATAAATATTTTATTAATTAATTAGTTTTGACAAAGGTACATAACCTCCTAAAGAGCTTTATGACAGACTTGCTGAATTGTATTTGCTGTAAAAGGTATGTTTTTAATAATTTTTTTATCTTTGGTTAATCTTTATACAATCATGTTAATTTTTTTGTAATGCTAAAATCGCCCTGAAACCGGATTTTATAATTGATTTTTATGACCGTAATGTAGACTACATTATATAGTATTTTTTATATAGATATGGCTAGCGACGCTGAACCAGTTTCTATTAAAACCTCGAAAGCGGTGATGTGCTTTATCATTAAACTAATAATTGTGATATTTTATTTTTTTTAGTATGTTTTTATTTTGTTTTAATTTTGGTTTTAATAAAGAAAATGTAAATTTCAGATTTGGTTAAATATTGCTCCTTAACCTCCTTTTAATATTTTGAGGAAATGTTATAACACGCTTTAAATGGTAATATTGCTACATGGATTTAAAAGCTATATTAATACAATATTGCAATTTAACCGTTCACATAATTTTTGGACGGTAATATTGCGGGAACATTGCATTAACAACATTTATGCCTCATTCGTACCTTGTATTGCAATGTTGCTGCAAGGAAGAATTAGGGTTGCTACAACATTTCAGCAATGTTGGTTTCCTCAGTGAGCTCAAAGAAGACTTTCTAAAAACAATGTTTTGGAACACTTGTCAACATATGAGAGAACAATCCTGTAATTTAGCTCGGAGAATCTTAGTAAATTGGCAGAAACGGCAGACAAAATTCTGGAATCTTCTCTCATGAAAACCATAGCTTCCACCGCAGTTCTTCTATGTTTGAAGCAATAGAGAAATTACAAAAACAAATAGAGACCTTATCACTACAGGTTAAACAAAAAAATCCTAAAGACTTTAAACCTAGATCATGATCACAATCAAGAACTAGGGACACAAAATACTGTTGTTATCACGGAAAATTTAGCGAGAAACCACCTTGTGAATTCAACAATAAACAGGAAAACTAGTAAGTTTGTTGACCCCGGTGTCTGTCAACAAACTCACCTCTAGTTTCCGCCTCTTTTTTACTGATAAAAATTTAAAAAAACAATTTTTGGTTGATTCTGGAGCAGATGTATCTATAATCTCACCAAGAGGCTAGATAAAAGCAATCTCATGTCAAATTATAAACTTCATGCAGCAAATGAAAGTGAAATCTCTACATATGGTGAACTCCTTCTCCAATTGGAATTTTTCGCTATCATCATAGCTGACGTCGATAAACCAATAGTTGGCGCCGTTTTCCTCAAAAACTTCCACTTGTTGGTGTATATTAATGGTCAAAGATTATTAGATGCAAAAACTAAACTTTCATCTCCAGCCAAAGTATGTGCATTATGTGCAGTATGTGCATTTATTAGTCCAAGTATTTCAACTCTTAATACCAATAACGACTTACTGGAACTTCTATCACAGTTTCCAACAATTACTCGTCAATGGCACTGGTTCAGCAAATAAAGCACAATGTAACACACCATATTGTAACAACAGGACCACCAGCATGTGCTAAAGCAAGACGTCTTTCTCTCGAGAAGTTATTGGCAGCAAAGAAAGTGTTTCAGCATATGATGGACCTGAGTATATGCAGAACTTCTAGAAGCAGCTGGACCAGCCCTCTTCATCTGGTCCCAAAGAAGAATGGAGATTGGAGACCATGTGGTGATTATCGTAAGCTGAATTCCATTACAATTCAATATTCAATACTCTCCTTTTGGTAAAAAGTATTTTACTAAAATCGATTTAATTCGCGCATTTAATCAAATTCCCGGTTAAAAAGGTGACATCCCAATAACAGCGGTAATTACTCCATTCGGTTTATTTGAATTTTTAGTCCTTCCCTTCGTTTTGCCCTATGCAGCACAGAGTTTTCAACAATTTATTCACAATGATCTAAACAACTTGAATTTTTGTTTTGCTTACAATTACGACATTCTTATCGCTTCCTTTTAAATGAAAGAACACAGGTCCCAAAAAAGCAAGTATTTCAAAGACTAGAACAATTTGGTGTTGGTATAAACGTTGCAAAAACGAAATCTCATTTTTGGGATTCCTTGTATCAGAGCACGGTATTAGACCGTCGCCTGAGCGCATTAAAGTAATTAATGAATTTCAATTGCCTGATCACAGACGAACATTACCCTTTTCTGCACAAAAACAATCCCATTTATTTGAGCTTAGTAAAAAGTCAACCAAGAATGACAAAACAAAAATATTGTGGACCGATGCAAATAAATTAATTTTCGAAGAATTGAAGCATCCCTCCCCAAACGCGACTTATGCCCTTATGGTTTACGCTTCCGATACTGCTATCGGAGCTGCTTTAAATCAAATTCACAATAATCAATATGAACGGTTATCTTTTTATTCAAAAAAATTATCTGACGCCCAGCATAAATATAGCACGTACGATAGAGAATTTTGCTACGACAAGCTCGTCATATAGATTTTATATCTCAGTTTAAAATAATATCAGGCATATTTCAGGTAAAATGAATGCAGTAGCTGATGCTTTTTCGTGCATATCTACTGTGGTTTTTCCTGGTCCTGTGCCCTATACAGACATTACGCTTGCACAAAAAACTGATAACGAACTTCAACATTTTCTATATTTTCTATGTGTTCATAACTTATCCCATCATCATCATATATCGCTAACTGAACTGCAGAATTAACTGTCGCCATTTGCAATAATAAAATATTTTAATTCACACATGCAGTACCATCTAGCGGCAAATGGATGACCTAAAAGTCCTTCTACGGTCATGTGAAAAAAACGTCGGGACAACGTTCAGTTATTATTTTTAGCCTAAACATTAACAATAATGGCTATTTAAGACAATTTTATAACACAAAAAACCCAAGATTTGTTCAATATCATTTTCTTTGGCTACTTAAAAGTTATTAAATTTGTAGAAGATAGCAAATATTCGATTTTGCTCTAGGAACATACGAAGGTCATGTGAAACAGGAGTTTTAAAACCAAAATTCAAAAATAAATTCATAGGATATTGAACTTTTGGTATTATAAATCGATAAAAAATATGCCTGTCTAGTAAAATGTAAAAAAATTATGGCTAATATAAAGGTTTTAGTTTTAATACCCCAGGGACATGGTCTTAAAAGTTACTGAAAACCACCCGTAAACCATTACAGGCACCCTACGACGGTCTCTTTAAAATAACCCATCGTTTTACCAAATGTTACACCGTTATTGTTAACGGGAAACCACAAAATATTTCCATTGACCGCCTTAAACCAGCATTTATTTTAAACGAAGATGTTGTTGACACCGATATTCCTGACACCGATTATCCTCAGTCCCTAACCCCTCAGAAAGACGATACACCTGTGGAAGACTCTCAGACACACCACAGGGGAGTACTGTGACTGTCTACAGTTTTCATTGTCATTGGCTATCTACAGTTTCCAATGTCATTGGGACTAGTTTCCCACTACTAGGGAGTCTGTCAAGATTCATAAAAAGCTGGTTATAAGAGTACTCGTAAATTGTAAAAATATAGTGTTTTGGTTTAAGATAGTAAATATTATTTCTTCACGGCTCCAAGTAACGTTAACTGTAAAACTATAAAAAACAACAATTTTTTTTAAACCCATTTGTGATTTTTGAAAATATTAATTATGAATAATATTTTAGTTTTAATTTTATTTTAGATGATGGCATCTACAACATTTTTATTACAACTTCAAAATTACCCCAAAGATATTATAAATAATGAAATGGTAGATCTTTTAGAACCCTATTTTCGAATGGACGATTATAACATGGATACAGCTAAAAGAGTATGTGGGGATGTAGCAGGTCTATTATCGTGGACTAAAGCCATGGTATTTTTTCATAGTGTAAATAGAGAAGTATTACCTTTGAAAACAAATCTAACACTACAGGAAGCTAGATTAAAGGTAAGTAATGGGCCAATCCCTGTAAAATCACCGAGGTTGAAGACCCTTAGGTCGTCGTATCTAAACGAAACTCGGTATAACGGCTTAGTTTTGTCTACACTCCTTAAACGGAATTGCGAAATACCCAACAGTTTCGGAATAACGGGTACCGCCATTTTAAAAAGTGTGGTTACGAAAAACGCTTCTATCTCGTGAACTAATGGAGGTACAAACTTCACTCATTTTGGGTGTTTTAACGTGTTGCTAATAATTGAAAAATCTGAAAAAATATATGTTGTGGGCCACAAACCACCTAAACTACGCGTATCGCAGATTTAGTATAAAACCAGCGAGTCAACGGTGGTCCCGGGGTTCGGGTAGAAGGTTGTTCAAATGTTTGCCGAATTAATTAAACAGGAGCGTAACGTATCTAAAGTTTTGGAAATTTTTTAATACATGAATTACAACTTTATCATAAATCAAACAAGTTACCATTGTTCACAATTATTCGTTGCCAAGCAACCTTGATATTTTAAAAAATATTAGTTTCAAATTTCTCAAAAACATGTCATATAAATTGTAAATTCGAAAAAGTATCTACAAAACTCGTTGGACGGCTATCAAAACGTAAAAAATTGTAAATATTTTTCGAAACGAAAATATTTCCAAAACAACAATTTATCGGACAATAGCTCAATGCGAACAAGGAATACCTTGTTTTAACACCAAAAAGTGGACTACCTAAAGTTCTAAGTGAAGTTCTTGAAAACAGAGTGGTTGAAAGCGCAAGACATAAAGTGGGTACATCTCATCGAAAACTGGCAAGGGAGTATCAAGTGCCACTATACAAAGAACACTTAAAAGAAGAAACTTTACATATCGCAAAAGACGGAAATTCCCAATATACACGCAGAATCAATCCGATATGCTGCAGAGGACTACGACAAATCCATTTCGCGAACAACAAACGCATCATTTTGGAAGACGAAAAATATTTCACTCCTTTCAATTCGGAAATAAAAGGAAATGACGGTTGATAACATTAAAGAGTGTCCTAATATAGTTGCCACAAAGGCGAAAAAAAAATTAAGATAAAGTTTTAGTTTGGGCTGCCATTTCAGATAGAAATAATAGACCGTATGTTGGGCGGGTAAGAGAGGAAGCAGTTGATGCTTCCAACCCAACCCAAAGATGTCTTACAAAATTAGTTGATTTTATTAATGAACACCACCTTCACCACCTTGGAGACAAAATATTGTTTTGGCCTGACCTGGCATCATGCTATTATGCTCGAATCTCCAGAGATTGTTAGCAGCACATAACATAACTTTTGTGCCCGAGAAAGACAATCCTCCAAACATAAGTGTGGATTCACAATGGACATAATGAAATCATAAATCATAACCATAAAATTTACATAAAACCCAAAGAGCGTTCACAATGACCTTAAAAATTGACATGTTGAGCATGTCAAACTAATGTCCATTTTTTTTTCGAACATAAACTCATAAAATTTGTGAATTGTGTTTTTAAAATGAGTGAGACTGAAGAATTGTTATTATTGTTACTACTAAGACGACGATGCCAAGAACGGCAAGATAGGGTAAAACCAAAACGAACAAGACGCTGGTGGGTTCGTCCTATAAATAGAGATAGAGAAAAAAGGGTTTCGAAGACTAATTATTGAAATGCGACTTCATGACACTGAATGGTTTTTTACTTATACTAGAATGACAGCCTTATTATTTGAGGAATTGCTAAAACTAGTGTCCCCTAAATTGATTAAACATAGCATACGAAAACCACTGAGTCCAACTCAACGGTTGGCCATTACATTGAGGTTGTTTACCTACTTTTAAATAAATAAATAACGTATTTATTAATCCTTATGTAAATACATACAATGTAAGGTTACAACATAAGATTAAATGGCCAATCACCGAGGTCCTTCAGCCAAATGTGCTTAATTTTAAATTGAACAATAATAATGGCAATGGTAATGCTTTTATTTATAATATATAATATTTTAGTATAGAATGGAAAAAAAAAGAAAAAAAAAGAAGTGAGTCTAAAATGGATTTGAATAGTTCAAGTAATGTCTTTTCGAGATGTTTGAATTTCTGTTCTTCTGGGTGTCTTGTACCTACTTTTATTATAATAAAAAACTAAAATAATAATTTGACTTTATCTTAGGTATTTGTCTACCGGTGACTCAACCTTTTTCATAGCAAATGGTACATATATAGGCACCGCAAGAGTTGCCAATATAAAAACATAACAAACCAAAAGTCACAGAATTTTCCCAAAAATTACATAATTATTTCATAAAGTTAAATTATTTGAACAGTAGAGTAGCTATGGGGCTTTTGGCTCACTACTTCACATTTCGGCCGCATGGTGGCGCCACATTAGAATTAAAAGTTTTTATATTGGCAACTCTTGTGGCGCCACATGCTGGGCTGTGCACTCGTTGGCGTTACACTATGGGCGGGAAATTCCGCCGGCCGCCAACCAATTGTAAAAGTAATACTGGGAAATGCAAAATTATGACTCGTAGTGGCGCCACTTGCCCGGTTGATTCTCAAGTCTAGTAATTGCACAATATTTCGAAATTTTAATTTATTGTGGCGCCACACTGGCGTTGTTTTTCTCACACGTTGAGACGCACTTCCCTAGAGGCCCCATTGGGCGGTCGCAACCTTGCAATTGGCTGCACGAATTTTTATTATTTGCATATTTAATTAGATAAATAAGTTTGCGGCGCCACACTGGCGGCACATATTTTTATTATTTGCATATTTAATTGCATCTACTTATTCAAACGTAATTCTCGGAATTTTCCAACTCAAGTTTGTTTTTCTATTAATTTATAATACGTGATAAAATTAGCAAATACGTAAAACATTCGTATCATTAAAAATCTCATTTGATATTTAATTTAATTTGTACATTAATACTCAAAACATATTTTGTTTTTGTTCATTAAATGACTCATTTGTTATTTAACTTTTGATTAGCTCATTAATATTCGAAACCTGTTATATTGTTTTTAATTATTGGATTTTTTGATTGGGCAGCGAAAAACGCTAAAAGACGAACACTATGATTCCCAAAAACAAAGTGAAAACATCTGTAGAAGGATACAGGCCAATATCACTCCTGCCGACCCTGTCCAAACTCCTGGAAAAAATCATCAAAGATAGACTGAATGATGAAATCACCGAAAAGTCCCTACTACCGGATGAACAGTTCGGCTTTTGCGCCCAACTGTCGACTGAACTCCAGATTCTCAGAATAACAGAATTCATTCACAAGTCCTTTGATCTAAAACAAAAAACGGGAATGGTCTTACTGGACATCAGTAAGGCCTTCGACAGGGTCTGGCATGTGGGTCTGCTAGCCAAAATGGCCCAACCAAACATTCATCCCCCACTGATAAAGCTTACAGCCTCCTATCTCACTGGGCGTTCCTTCTTCGTGAGCCATCTTGGAGCAAGTTCCACGATCAGACGCATAACAGCCGGAGTACCTCAGGGGTCGGTCCTGGGACCTACCCTGTTCAACCTGTTCATGACCGACCTCCCCCGCACACCAAATGTGGAACTTGCCCTCTACGCAGATGACACCGCCATTTACACCAAAAGCTCGAAATTAAGGAAGGTGAGAGCCGACCTGCAACTCGCTCTAGGAAACATCGGCGCATGGGCCTCTAAGTGGAGAGTAAAAATAAATGCCACAAAAACCCAGGCAATAATCTTTCATAAAGGCAAAATCGTCCCAGACCCACTAGAATTCGATGAGTAGGAAGTGCCATGGAGGGACACTGCTAAATACCTGGGGGTGACCCTAGATAAGAAACTCACTTGGAGCACACACCTTCAAACCACCAGAGACAAAGTGAAGGGAATGATGCCAGCATTACGACCCCTAAGCGCCCCAAACTCCAAGTTGAGCCTAAAGAATAAAAAACTAATACGGACAGCAATTTTGCGGCCAGTGGCCACGTACGCCTGCCCTGCCTGGGCCACTGCCGCAAAATCCCACAAAAAGACACTGGCGACACTCCAGAACAAATATTTGAGAGCCATCACTGCGGCACCCTGGTTTGTCAGGAATTCCATGATAAGGGACGATCTGGGGCTAAATCCATTAGAAAAATATATGACAGACCAAACGAAGGCAGCCCTAAGCCGTATCAGCCTTATAGAAAATGACGCGCTACGGGCGATAATAAGCTACGACCCCGCCCATAGAAGGCTCTACAGGGGCAAAAGAGGCACAATTGAAATTGAACCTGATTGAAGCAACCCGAACCCTTCTCTATCCCCAGCCTTAAGCTAAACCCAACATTTTACTTTTACTTTTTAACTCACTGTGCAACTTAACTTTCAAAGTACAAAAATCTCATGTTCAAACTAACCTGAAAGAAAAGTAAAGTAAAAATAAAACATACAAAAAAACTTCTTGAGCAAATTAAAGGGTGGTACCAGCAACCTAAACAAAAGGAATACATATTCCCCAAATTACTAAAAGTACAAAAATCCAAATACAAATTACATATATTTTCTAATGCACACACATAAACACTTATGAACTATTAAATCTTTAAAATTATATTTTCTTAATGCAAACTATTTCAGAAACCGCGGTACCACCCCAACTCACAAGTCGCTACAAAACCACTACCTAATCTCAATTTCAATTAATCTTAACTCTAACTTAAATCTAAATTCAATTTTCATTTTCAATTTCAATTTCAATTAAAGTCAAAACCAACGTAACAACATTATCAAAGTCTTGCCTCACCGTAGTGTGTGATCTAGTAACAACAACAACATACTAACAGAATGAAAGGAGCCCACACTAACTATACCTCAGTCCAAGCAGACGAAGGGGACAGCTCTCTTATTATATACTTCTTGCCCCCTTCCCCCTGCAAGATAAAAAGCTTTAACAAAAAAAAACAAAAAGCATTTAGGCCGCTGGCGGACCCAAACCCACCCTTAACGTCCAAAAATTCCTATGACAAAACCGCTATCCCTATCTCAGCTAAGTTTTCTACTCCCACTAAAGAGTAAGGGCAAAAGGTCCACCTTGACCTGACCCTTGCTCGGGCCAAAGCCCAGCATTTTAGGCCACAATACAATACAATACGAACACTTTTAACAAAGGAAGATAGGAGCTTCAAAGGCCTTGTTGTGATTGGATCGGCTGGTCCAAGGAATGACGTCCTCTAGGTTCCTCCTGAGGGCTGCCTGTCGTCAGGGGTTCGGATTGGGCAAGTAAAATGGTGCTACATGCACCTGAAGTGTTGAAACAAACGCTAGCAGCGTTGTTATGCTGGGTTGTCCCAGACTGGGCTTCCTGTAGAACCATTGGTACATGGAGGTCCATCTGGTAACGTGGAACGTGCATGGGCACGTCGGCAACGGTGTCCATGGCAGCAGGTCCAACCAATTCTAAAGTATCGTTGACTTTGGAAACCAATTCGTTGACTCCGAAGACGTTGTCCACAGAAGCCTTGATTTCTTCCGTATTTGCGTTCAACTTCGCGATTTTGGAAGCTGAGCGTGTGACAATGGGCATATCACTGTTCCTGCTGGCTTTGACGGCGGTGGGTCTCCATCAGTTCTTCGATAACATCCCCATTGGCGTTGACGATAACATTCCTCACAATCTGGTACGTGGGCTGACGGGCTCTCAATTGGAATTTGAAGGAACGCACCAAAGTATCCCTTACTTTAGTTAGCTTTCTCAAATTACGGTGATCGTACGGCATTGTTTACCAGAAGTTTACCTTTTTCTTTAAACAAATTCGAATCTTTCGAATTTTAATTCAAAAATAAATTCAATTCACTTGAATTTACAAGTTTAGTTCTACGAACTGCTTTTAAATATCAAAAATAATTTAACTTCGAGTCTTTCGAAGTTTAATTCAAAATAAAATTCAATCACTTGAATATTTCGTTCTACGAACGGGTTTTAAATATCAAACATAAATCAACTACGAATCTTTCGAAGTTTAATTCAAAATAAA